GTGATAAGTGATTATTATAATACATATAGTAATTCACAATATATAATAAAATACTTGGCATAGAGCCCAAAATAACAAGGTTGAACATCAGTTATAAAATGAGAAAATATCATTAAAATCAACTGTTTTTTTTTATTCTCAAGAGTTGACTGATATATATGTTTAAATATCATGCCAAAAATGGGAAGCTACTTCGTCGGATCATTTACATACACATTGGATACTTTAATTTCTTCTTGCTGATCCACAATAGCTTGGGATTAGTTCATGTAAACCTGGAATCTGTTAAAGAATTGCCGGAGATGGAAACGATTTTATACTGCTTCATAGAAATATTATCTACCTACAATTTTCATGCACTATCAGTGTGGTTTAACTGAAGACCTTCTTGAATGACTGATATAAGTCTGCACTATATGAACAGTTCTCGTTATTTAGGTCCAGTTTATTTTCACTGTAGAAATTCAAGAAAAACCACCCAATCTTGCTGGAACTAGTTGCTTCAACACTCAACATTCCAAAAAGTCAAGTAGCTAACAAGTCTCCCTAAAATAAAATAGATGCAAAGTTTTTAATACATACCTATTAGAAAAAATGTATATATGCATCTTTTACTAATCTTAATAATGTTGATACCTTGCACTTACATTTCGGCATCTCCAGAATTTGATTTATGTCCATGATGGGCTTATCTGCCTTAAACATAACAGATCTGCTCTATCCAATCTTCACAGTTCACCACGATCACGATGGAGTTATACGGTTTACTTGTTTCCTTGTCGTATCTCTAAAAGCATGCTTTAAAAAGTTCTTGCAGCTGTGCATCATTGGAGCTAATAACGAATGCAGGTGGTGTCACTCCAATCACCTGTTCGCACCGATTTTTAACGACATATACTGTCATATTAATTCAATAGTCAATAGATCAAAGTGTCAAGTGTCCTTTCTAATGCAAATTGATCAATGTTGTCTCTTTTTTGACGAAATGTGAAATTTTCTTCTCAATTCCAAACGCAGACATGACCGAATATTTAAAATAAAATGAAAAATGGGGCGGAAAATGGAACGAAAATTTCCGGAAGCGGGAAATTTAAAATAATATTATTTTTTACGTATCTATAAAATACGAGCGCGCGGGTCCGACGAACAAGAAATTTTATTGGTGAGGCCTAAATACCTTAGATAATTCATAAACTAACTAAAACACCCAAAAAAGACATATCTTTGCAGGTGAATATTCATACAACATGTCTCAGAGTACATACCTCTAAAACTTCAACAGCCAAAATTGATCTTAAAGAAGTGAGATATCATATTTCATTTAGCTATGCACCAAATCACATGTAATTTATGTTAAAACTTAAGAAAATCTAAAATATGCATTTACCAAGAGAATATTTGAAATCTTTATTGCAAAACATTCACAAATTGATGTTGAATCTGCCCACGTCTTTCAAATACAAATCTCAATACTTCTTAGTTTTTAATATTTCTCAAAATCGAAATTGTTTAGATGCCATTTTTTCTTTAAAAATATTAAGAATTATATCTAAGGTTAACAAAAACACATCGTTCATTATGTTCAACCAGATAAATTTAACAAAACAGGCTTTTGAACACGTATACCCCCATATTTTAAACATCAATTTTTCAATCATTTTTGGCAAAAAAAATTTAAAAGTTGAATTTAAAAAGATGATATAGGCTTTAAAATCAATCAAAATAGATCTCAAGTTAGTTTGTTTAAAAAAAAAATAAAAAGCATTAGGTCCATAAAGGCAATTAAGAATTTTGTGTCTGTGTATTACCATATGACATACCAGTAGTTCCTACGGAAAGAGTGCAAAGTGTTAAAATTTCCATAAATAACGATGTTTAATGCTCAATTACATTAAAATAAACAAATACATACTTGCTAAATTATTTTCAATCATCCAAATAGATTTTTTCAACAGATAAGTGATAATCAGAATTTTATATTGGTGTGTAAAATTAAAACCGGATCCGTAAAAGTATGGACGTTCCTTAACCTAAACCCCTCTATTAGCGTTTGATATGCCGTAATCAGACGATTTATTAATCGGATACATAAAATTTTCTCCATTGGCAGCGTTGAAGGAGGTTTTGGAGCTGCTTTTCTGTTTCGCCTTATCTGATTGGCTTATAATACAGTTTAAATATCTAACCAATCAGATAAGGCGAAACAGAAAAACAGCTCCAAAACCTCCTTCAACGCTGCCAATGGAGAAAATTTTATGTATCCGATTAATAAATCGTCTGATTACGGCATATCAAACGCTAATCGAGGGGTTTAGGTTAAAGGGACTAATCAAAGAACATCTCCCAGACAGAGTGATTGCAAAATTATGATAGGTAACATTAAATATTACCTTGGTAATCTGTCTCGAAATAGGGGTTCCCCGTTTGTTTACAAATTTTGTTTCTTACCTTGTGTATTTTTATTATACCGAATAAGGCCATTCTTTAAACGTGAGAAAAAGTACAATCTGCTTGCATATAACGACATATAGATGTGTTTGACGGGGAAATTTTATATTTTTGAGATATTATACACTCTTACATTTTTTTTTTCATTAAAAAAAGGGGGGTATTATCCATACTTCAGGTGCCTGTGAATACACATGGCGATAAAGGAGTTGCCTATCCCGTTAATATAATTATACATGTACGTCCCTGCTATAATAAACGGTTTATTTACTTACATGTACTTACTAATAGTAGCATTGGCTAGTTATGAACCAAAGAACGGCATTATTAACACTAGTCATATCTTACTTTGAATGACGGGGGCCCAGGGGGCGAAGCCCCCGGAAGCTCCTGGGTTTTTGGTGTATTTAAAAGAGTGAAACCAGGCACAATAATTATCTTATTATTTAGTTATGTACCAAAATATGGCATTATTAATATTAGTCATATCATAATTTGAAAATTTTAGGGGGAGGAGGGGGGAGGGGGCATGTGCCCCCACGCCCCACTTAAATCCCCCAGTGGATTTTTAACCATTCCTTCCATTATGCATTTTAGATGTTTTAATTTATCTATAGACTTACAGAATTCTACTACATCCTAGGTACAAAATGGGCGCAAAAGGGTTTGATGCTTTTTTCGCACTCTTGAAACCTGAAGGTTAAATCCGTTATCAATCATGTATGACATTTAGGAACCCCTCTCCTCCTTACCGGTTTATGTTCTAAGACAGGACTATTGTTCTCGAATCTTATATCGATGCTATCAAAAAAAGTGTGATTATAATAGATTTAGTCATCTCAATTAATACCCAAAAAACAAATTAAAATACATGTACACTTTATAATGATCCTATGTCACTCGTACAGAAAATGTATTTTTGAAAGTTCGGGTCGAGAATTACAGTTAATATACAAAACCGTCCCATCAGTAGTTCCCTATCTATAAAGGTTACGTGTGTATCTGTAGAAAACAGGAAATGCATTTTCCAACTGCATCAAATATAGCTTTTATCATTTCTAGAACATTTACCAGGTATGCAGTAATAAGGAAATGCAACGATTATGTGCAGCAGTCAATCAGGAAATACAGAGAAGTGGCATATATAGATTAACTAATCTATCATTATATAAATAACTTTTTTCACGCCTTTAAGCCAATAAAAATGTTTTATCTTAATTGTTGGCAGACATTTCAACGAGATTTCGCCGCGTGTAATTCCATGACCTCCAGTCTTCTCAGTCCTTTGATTTTAGATTTAATTAACTACATGTAAAACGTTGACATTTTTTGAGTAAACGTGCATAACTTTCATCGATGTTTAGTAAATCAACAGAAAACTGTACTCTTACCAAAAGTTCATATAAAGAAATAGTTAGCATGAGGTGATATCCTTCATTGTGAGTAGTTAGCTTTTCCTGCAAATATCGTGAAAATACAGCGAAAAGTTTTTATTTACATGGTCATAACCACCTTTAACCAAGTTCATAAATTGATAGTCACTTTTTATGTTAATTTGGCTTAACTCCTTCCTGGTCATTTTCTTTATTAGATTTTTGATTTTTGTTCACATATACGCACACACAAATACAAATAGTCTGTTTATATTCAAAAATGAATATACTTAATTATTATATATAATGCCTAGGTTAGTATTCCTCTATGCTTTTAACTTTGTACCGTACTATTGCTAATTTTAAAAACATTATATAAAATTTAATTTTAATCGGTATAAGCAGCAATTTAACAATAACAATGTAACAAAACAAAATTATTGATCCCCCCCCCTTGTGTTCATTCTAAAGCTAAATTTTGATACACTTACACACCTTCAAAATATGTATTTAACCTTTTCATTTTAATTCAATCTATATCTGTAATTTATAATCAGCAATGAGGCCTATTGAATAAAATCAACCCTTTTTTTTTGCTATTTGCAATTTTCCTCACCTCATCTTTATTTTATATATATATTATATTGACATTTAACTTCATGTATGATCGGCCACCAAAAAATGATTCTACATGTAGCAACACGGTGCGGTTGTTATTTATTTATTAAAAAAAATTATTATTCATTTATTTAAAAAAAAAAAGTTAATAGATGTACCACTTATGTCTACACGATCATACAGAAGCCTGTTCTCTTATTAGAACAGAGATGTTGAGGCTGGAAGCACTAGGTGAAAAATTAAGAATTATAAAAATTCTTTGCACCAATGATTGATAAATAAAAGTTTAATTTATCGAGACATATATATACAAATAAAAAAGTACATAAATCTCGTCTAGCTGTTCGTTATATCCACATATTTCATCAAATTATTTTAATGAAATTGTTGAACAAAGAAAATTTACATTGGTTGACCACAATTCTGCAATTTGATATGTATTGGATTACTTTAATCGAAAGAGAATTAAAGTGTCACAAGATATATTATGAACTCTTGAGTAATGTAGTGAAAAAAAAATGAAATATCAGTGAAAATGCGTATAAAATGTCAGCAACATACCGTAACAGTGAATAAATCCTAGTAATGAAATAAGACACGTCCACCATAGGACAGCCATTTCAAAAGAGGAAGTAAAATTAAAAACAATCCTTGTCAAAAGCATTCGACCAGAAAAGACTCTACAATGATTTAAAAGGCTGACTATCAAGTGACCTACTTAAAAAGGTAAATATAGGGATTTAAACATCACTGTCGACATTCCTTTTAAGCGTAAACAATTAAAGGACGGGAAAACCATTAAACATGAATGTACTTAATTCTGGGGATGATTAATCTTATTTTACAGAAGTATATACTTCCCCATCGCAGATAACTGGTAACTGACTCTAGTGATAAGCATTATAAATTGTGTGAACATATCAAATTAATTATAAATATCTACCTTGTCTACGAAAATATGTTTTTTAAAAAGACGTGCATCAGGTAGATTTCCTTTTTTGCTTTAATTGTCCTTTTGTTATTTATAACTTAAGACACTTGGGGAAATTTGTGACGTTTTTTTTTTATTGTGCCTGGTAATGCTGTACATGTCCCATGAATTAGAGTTGAGGAGGGAATATATATAAAACGAAACCAATTTTATTGTATCTAAAAAATGTTAAGATATTAACTATGTATCTACCTGTATTTAGAACTATATGTAATGCATGCTTATTATACAAATAATATACTGGTTATATCGTTTTAGAAAAAAATGATGATGTATTTTTTGCGATCATTTTAAGAAAAACAGAATGATAAAACACAAATGAGTTTTTTTTCAGATATTGTGTGTCATAGACAATATAACCAGTTTTGATTTTTTTTAAATCGAACAATAATTCACGCCATTCAAAAACTGATGAAATTTTCAGATATTGTGTGTCATAGATAATATTTCCAGTTTTGATTTTTTTTTTAAATCGAACAATAATTCACACCATTCAAAAACTGATGAAATACGCTTTTTTTGCTAAATCCCCAACACCCATAAAATTGAATATAAAATACAATTGTGCATGCATACGAAGATGCATCAATTATTTTTTTTAATCTGACAGGGCATGCATTTACTCGGGAACGGGCTTATCCAATGGACACTGTCTCTGAATATAAAGGTCAAATCAAGCATTCAAAGTAAGACTTGTAGTGTAAGTCACCATCCATAGAAGTATCATCCATGCAAGGTAGGTCAACGTAGGGCTTATAGTTTCCCGGAAATAAGAACCTGCTCTCTAAAATTTAACCGTGTCATTCCTAAGATGAAATTGCAGCAATGCATAATTATGATACCTTGACTGGTACTTGTAAAATGAATACATCGCTTACCTCTTCCATCTTGCAATTCTAATTTGAAAACGACAAACATTTAGAAGTTTTTAAACAATCTTGCATACCGATGTTGTCAAAGACACGAACACCAATGGTATCACATTAGCTCCCTTAACACGGTTTATGTGGACTCTCTTTAAACGTAGCTACAGGGGGTGGGGGGGGGGCAGGGAGGCCTGCCCCCCCAACTTTTTTTTTTCCCAACATTGCCTTTACTATTGAAAATGTCCATTGAAAGGTGGGTTTGCCCCCACTTCTTACCACAGTATAGTGATATAAAGGAAATTTAGTATTGTATGCCAAAAATTAAAAAAAGAGAAGAAATTTGGCCTTAAAAAAGTTGAACAGTACCCCCCCCCCTCCCACCCCCAAGAAATAGCATTTTTGAGGGCAAGGTCCTTTTTTTCAACCTTTACAGGTAAGTAAAAAAAAATTCTCTGGTTGGCCCACCACTTTCAAAAACGATGCCACGTGCCTGGATAGCAGTGAGAAACCTAAATTGTTCATGTTCAATTCTTTTGACCTTTTGAAATATGATTACGTATTTAAATATCTGCTAGGTGCTTTACGTTATTTTCTTTCTTTGCTTCATGAAAAAACTTTTTAAATATATATTTAAATCAACCCTTATACATTACTTTCATAATTTGAATTAAATGCTTTCTATTGATGTTATCTAAACGTTAAGGAGATACATCCATGCTCAAGGCAAGCTCAAGTTCAGGTTTGAAGTACCTAATGATCGATTGTTCGACTTACGTCCTTAATTTTGTGATAAAGAAATTATTTTCCAGAAAGACACAAATAGAAACAAGAGATAAGTTAATAGTTATACCTTTTTTTAATTAAAATTTCCTTGACATGAGCACGGTTAATTTTTTTTAAATAAAATGACGGAAATTTAAAATGGAAAGATGGAATAATGCAATTATGCAATATAATAGATTGCATGCTGATTCTTTTTTTGTCAAAAAACATCCGGTCGGACTACGATTCAATACACATTTGTTATCAGAGAATATAGAGCCCGTCTCAACTATCTTGTTTTAAGATAAGGAACGTCCTTTATTATCTACCGTTTTTCTGTATTTTTTTTGTGCTGATCTTATTTGCATTTTGGCAATCATTTATATTTCCCCAAAATATAAAACAAACAAATAATATCTCAGATATCGTCTGTGATAAAAACATACAATTTTTTAAAATTTATTTATTTTCTCAACTGTAGAAAATGACTTACTAAAAAAAAAAAAAAATAACCAAAAAAAAAAAAAACAAAATAAAAACCATCACATTTATCATCCCCCCCCCCCCCAAAAAAAAACAAAAAACAAAAACAAAAAAACAAAACGAATGCGAGATATACTGTAATAGTGTACACTTCAAGATACAGCCTTTAAACAATTTTGATCTGATAGGGTATGTAGTTACTCAGGTATGGACTTATCTATTTATTTACTGGAGTATTTAATTAAAAGCATTTTCCAAGCACTGGTAGTGATTAGAGAGTCGGCTCTAGAGTCGCGAAGTAAGGCATTGATCCCACTGTGGGAAGTGGAGACTGGTCCTTCAGATGAAATAGGTTCCGTGTCAAACTTGCTGGGGGTTCGAATTCAACTGTGGGGCGTAAGTCAGATCCAGCAGTAAGTTAGTACAATGAAATACATGTATGTACCTAAAATACAGTTAAAGCATTTTCCAATCAGTACTTATATAGAGAGTCTTTTCTAGAGTCGCGAAGTAAGGAGTTGAATCCCACAGATGGACGTGGAGATCGGTCCTGCGGATGATAGGTTCCGTGTTGCACTTGCTGCTTGGTTAGGGAGTCTGCTCTAGAGACGCGAAGTAAGGAGTTGATCCTTACGTCGCCGGTTCGAATTCCATTGTAGGACGTGGGGACCGGTCCTACGGATGATAGGTCCCATGTTGCACTTGCTGCTGGCACGAAAAAGACCTCTCACTGCTCAATGCCCCAAGTATAGGAGAAAATGCACCGCCAATTGGTTGTGATCCATCTCATTGAAAAATTCTTGAGAGAGACCTTAAACAGAGTAAGAACAATCATTTTTCGTGCATTTCTGATACCTTATACGTCCACCTCGCCATTGACGTTATTGCTATCAAAAATGTTCCCCAAACCTTATTTAGATGCGCTTTAGGCCTAAATAATTTTCGGAAAATTGGCAGTGAGAAAGGTACATTCTAACGACACAATCAGGTTCATGACGTTTGGAAATTGAATGAAATTTTAATCTTAATGTTGAATTCAGAGCGTTAATTTCTTTCTTATTCCAAAAGGTTTTTAATAAATATTCAAATTAAACAACAACTCTTCATTTCAAAGTTGCCCCGTGGGGATCCGGGTTAGAATAGGTCCTCAGTACCACCTTGCTTGTCGTAAATTACGACTAAATGGGGCGGTCCTTCGGATGAGACCGTATAAACCGAGGCCACGTGTCACAGCAGGTGTGGCACGATAAAGATCCCTCCCTGTTCAAAGGCTGTAAGTGCCGAGCATAGGCCTAAATTTGCAGCCCTACACCGGCAATGGTGATGTCTCCATGTCGGTGAAATATTCTGGAGAGGGACGTTAAATGTAAACAATCAATCAATCATTTCAAAGTTAGGACCCAATGTTTTCTATTGAGTTTTCTTCATTCGGAGATGCATGCAGGCTCAATTTCAAGTTTAAGTTTCAAGTACTAAATGATCGATCCTTTATTTTCCGATTAAAAGTTAAATTATTTCCCAGAAAAACATGGAGATATATAGAAACAAGATAAATAAACAATAACAGAATTTCTTAAAGAGAATCATTATGTCCTTGACATGAGCACAATAATTTTTTTTCATTTAATATGACTAATACTTGAAGTGAAAATATGAAATGGTGCAATTTTGCAGTATAGTAATTTAGATAAATCGAACGAAAAAAAGCATAGAATTAAAAACTATGGACCTTATTTTTATAGAAAACTGGTGTAAGTTAAAGTTATACACTGCACATGTATATGCCCTTCTTTGCTTCATAAACTTAAAATTAAAGGGTATCCTGTGTGTAGCCGAGGGGAGAGGGGATAAGCACCTTTTACCATATTACTTCCCACCCCACTTCTTTAGTCATGCTATCATTTTGCTCTTTTAATAAAACAAAATTGCTTGTTTAGAACTTTGACAAACAACAGGATTGATTGCCAATGATTGTAAATTGTTTTACGTCCCTCTCGAGGGTTTTTCACTCATATAGAGACGCTACCAGTTGCCGATTTTGTGCTACACTCGGAACTCAGGGCCATTGAGCAGTATAAGGGATCTTTTTTGTGCCAGAACCTACTGCGACATAGGACCTCGGTTTATATACGATCTCATCCAACAACAACAAGATATAATTAAGATACGAAATTACATAATTACATACCACAATCGAATCTCAAAGAAAAAAAGTATTTTTTTTTTAAATCTATTCATAAAAAATATATATTTCATTTAACTATCCTTAGCCGAAACCAACTTCCAAACATTGAAGAAAATTTTTACCAGAGTTTGATTCTCATCACGCGACATACGGGCGGTCGCCAAATGCATGGAACCAAAATTTGGCACACGTCCTTTTTTGCTTACATACAAAATGTATATAAATAATTACTGATAGAACACTAGAGGACACGTGTTGGTATGTGGATTTTGAGACGAACGAAACACTTCTATTTCTATGTGTGTCTATGATGAATCATTCAGAGATGCCTGTTTTTTTTCTGCATAAGGTTGGACGATATATATACTTCCTCACAACAGAACAACTATGCTTTGCTGCATTGAAATGTAGGTCTTTCTGTAATGAATCATTCAAAGATTTTTGATATACAAGTAATTTCTTCATAAGGCTGAAAAAAATAATAACTTCCTTAATGTAGCACTTATGACTTTCTGCTTTAAAATGCAGGCTCTAATGATTAAGCTATTTT